TGTTAAGTTTGGGTTAGTTTGGTATGGCACAATGCAGTGTACCTGCATAACCAAAATGACAGCTATTCGTCTTAACCTTGAGGAATACTTTGCTACATTTAGCCTCTAGTTGAAAATGAGGTTAAAATATGCGACGGTTGAGCACACACATTTTTACGTCCGTCCGACGGTCGAGCACACACTTTTCTACGTCCGTCCGACGGTCGGGGAGACACCTTTAATTATTCGACATTTTCAAATCGACATTTTAATTTTCGATATTATCATTTTCGACATTTTGAATTTTCGATATTATCATTTTCGACATTTTGTATTTTCGATATTTTGATTTTCGATAAAAAGTGTTCGTTATTTTGAATTCGATATAATGAATTTCGATATTGTGAATGTCACCCTACAATAAAGTACCAATTGATTAGTATTTAAAGTGAAAATGTGTTTTAACGCAAATTTTAAATGTTTCAAATACATCTGTTTTCAGGTTATATTTATACTCCTTAAATTAATTTATCGCTGTAAAGTACATACTAGAGGCACGAATTAAAAACTTAATTTTAACTTTATACGAAAATGTGCTATTAATGGTTTTATAAGAAGTAAAAAGGTTTAAACTTCCAACGAAGAACTCCTATGTTTTTTACGTTAAAAGTCAAAGATGGCAATATAATGTGAAACAAGAATGACTGGATTATTCTCTTGCAATAGCTTAATTTCACTTACTCTTCGTTCTTTGCGAAATTTCCTTGTAATATTCATTTGTAAAGTCTTGTTGTAATATTTCGTGGAAGCACCCTAAGGAGTTACAAAAAAAGAGTTTAGGTAATTTAAAGGCTGGTTTAATATTGCCACACGTACTGTATATACAAAAAAATTCAATTATAATCCACTATATCGGATTTAAATTTCAGACGAAACTATAAATTCAAGAATGTTTGTAGCTTTAGAGTAGGTAAAGCTTTGTGTGATCTCAGGTCAACCATGTAAGAATTTTTTAATATGCGGGATAAATTGATGTAATTTAACCCACTTCACTGTATTCCGTATACAGTAAAAAATATTTGTTAATTTTAACCAAATATTAACCAGATTTTGTGTTAATTCAGGTCCACATAACTTTATGGTATTTTACAACCAACTGTAATCTGTTAACTAATTGAATAAGTAGTTTTTAATTATAACAAAATTTTTGTAGATTTAATAACAAAATCCTATACATCATTAATTTAACCATAATAACGACCTTATTTTTACAAACCTTTTTGTAGACCCAGTAACAAAAGTATTTGTTGGAAGTTTGAATCTTAAATTAAAAGAATTTTGATAAGAAATATTTCTTCTATCAACATATGTTGCTTTATTAATCAATTATCGTAAAATTAACACATACCTACTTAAATGAACACTTAAGTAACATACACATAATTAAATAATACACAATTCTGAAATCATCAAATTACAAAGAACTTTGGTACAATATAATCAATACTACTATAAGACTTACTGATGTATTTTGTTACCTTAACCCACTTCTTTGTATCCCCTAATTTTAGTTTTAAAACCAGAGATGGTATAAGGAATCCGAATACCAATAATAACAAATTTCTGGTAAAATATTATAAAAACTCTAGTTCTCATAAACACGTTAGGTATTAATCTGAATAAAGTAAGCAAAACAATAATTTGCAGACGCTGAAGTCATGACTATTTTTAAAATATGGGATTTTATTAAACTATTTCAAACTAGGTGTTGTGTTAATTACAAAAATTACACAAAAAACTTGTTTTATATTATGTTATTGATGTTTTACACTATTGGGCAATTATATAAATTACTTTTATTGATATTATTTAAATTATTGTTTAGTTCTCGGCACTATTAAAAAGTTAATATACAGGACTGTTTTTTTTATAATTGACTAAAATTTTAAACTGATTTAAATTTGCATACTATAGTATAGTATAGTAATCTTAAGATATATACTTGCTTAAAGATTGACGTTTTATGAATATAGTAACTACAAAAACGTGCATGCATTGGTCTGTTTTTAAAATATTTATTTCCGGTTTAAATTCGAAAGAATATGCATTTCTTCATCTAAATGGAAGAAATTTCAAATCTGCCAGTTTACCTTTACGTAGCTCATTTCTAAATCTGATGGTCAACTTGTGGGACAAGGCTTATTAGAATCTAACATTCAAAAAATATTCCATAACAGAGATAGCTTTTTTTTAAGTAACAAAACATTTCGCAATTGTATTTAGAGTTTATTGGATTATAGGAATAATAATTCCTAATTTTTTTTATCAATAATGTAGCATAGTTATCCTATTTTAAGTTGTGTATTTCCTTTAAAAATAAATATATTGGAATTAGAATTTGTATATCCACGGATTAAGTTACAAAGAGGGATTTTTTAGTATTTTTAATTTAAACTGATCTAGTTTTTACTCTTGCTTTTACTTATTTACTTCATACTTATATTTTTATACCAAAATTGCACTTGTCATATCGCTTATCTAACTTTACTTTAAATAAGAAAACTACAAAAATTGTTAACTTTGGAGCTATGGAACTATTGGGCTAAAGATTTTATACCAAATTTGGATAAAACTTTATTTTAAATTAGTAAAACTATCCAGACGTCTGGACACAAATAATTTAATTGAAAGAAAAAAAAATTTCAAATAAGCTCCCCAAATCAGCACAAATTTTAACTCTGGATCCTCATTTTATAACACCTTTAAATTTTTATATCGAGATCGACTGAATTTTCTAATGGATCTCCATATACCATTTGTTTTAACCTTCTCCATAGACAAAATCCATAATAGTTAAGTCTAGACTTCGTGGAGGTTTGGGCCTTTCCAATCCATTTTTTGCCAATTGCAAAGGTTAAAGTACATTTAATGGAAGTTTATCAATTTGTTAACTTAAAAAGTGTTGTAATATTTTCAAATAACTGTGCTAATTTAAAATACCAATAATAACATAGGGCCTAAGAATTAATATTCCATGATAGATAATACCCGAGATTGATGTTTTAAAATTAAAAATCGCAAACAAATAACTGCTAAGGAAAACAATCACAAGGGTACCCAGACAGCAATATGACGTCTTAATTAAGTCTGCATAAGCTCTATTTTATGATTTGTACGTCAAATACAACATCAGAAAGCAGTTTTTAAGAAGTTCTTAAGACTTCGAATGCGCCACCTATTGAACTAATCAAGAATTCTCAAAAAAGAACTCTTGAGGAACCCTTTTCTTTGACTTCGCAATTTAGCATTTTAAAGAGTCCTACTGTATAATGATGATGATGAAGAAATTGCATACTGGATCGTTGCTTATTTTGACATGTCAAGTTTATTTTATTAATTTTATTAATTTTTTAAATTGATTTTATTAAAATCATTTTAATAATTTGCTCGTATTCACTTATTTTAGGAATTGCGATTACTTCGTCTCACTTTTGTTTAAATTCAAGCGTGCTCTTTACCGGCACCGATAGACGGCCTGTTTCGCTCCTTTGGAGCTCGTCAGTATCGGGTAGCCGTTTACCTAGGTTTAAGACCATTTGGTATGGAGCACGCTTCTTATATGAAACACAAGCAGTTACAGCGGTGAGAAGAAAGTAATCGCATTAAAATGTCATAAATGTGACGTCTCCATGTTGACTTCTAAAAGAGTTAATAGTATGATTTCAATTGGAAGTAAGAAAAAAGAATACTCTGTAAGCTCAAAATAAATTGTTCAAAAAGAGGTCAACAAAAGATCTTCATTTGTACGTAAAAAATTGTCTTTTTACTTATAAGTTTATTAACAGCTCAGAATTCTGAGCTTATAAAAAGGAGCTGTTTAAGACGTCATGTTAGAACTTCTACACAAAGTTGTTTAAAAGACTTCATACTGAAATCTTTCTGAATTGGATGCTGACTGGGTAGTCATGCGCAACGCGTCGCTAAGAGAAATTTCTTATTAATAAAGATTTTTCCTTATTGATAACAAATAAAAAGGAAAAATCAGAATGCAAAGTCCATATAACGTTAAACCGTTGGTGCTGATTTTAAAGTTCTTTTTGAAATATTGTCTTCAGGCAGGTATAGTAAAATGTGGATTTTAACTGCTCCAATATTGACAATGTTTGGATGAAACTACACCATTGGTGGTAAATGTGGATTTATCAAAATAAAAATAAAAATAAAAATACAACAAATTTATAAAAAATCATATTTCAAGAGTTTGCCTAAAGTGTGGTTTAAACGGAATAATTTTGTTGTTTAAAGGTTTTTTGAAGGAGTTCCGCAGCAATATGAAATGTAATGTAAAGGTAGCTGCATCGTCTTCGTTAAACTGTTTTACGGTTGTTTTAAATTTAAAATGGAGACAGTTTTTAAAAATGTCTTTATAAATTTTCTACCAGCCATATAAGAAACTTTAATTTCTGAATATTTTTAAGAAGTTTATTAATTACCACATGGTAGCAAAGCTCTTTAGACCCATAACATTGAATTATTTGCTCCAAAAATAACATTTCAGTTTTATTAGTATATATTTCTACAATCGTTCTGACAGAAACTTTTAATTTTGAATGAAGAGGTAAAAATTAAAAGGGTATAAATGCAAAGAAGAGAAGTGGAGTTATTAACTTTTACAGTTTTTGCTATATACAAAAATCTAAATACTTTTTTTAATATTGTTGTTTGCAGAACTTGTACAATTTTCAAAGAATTTGTACTCTAAACTACTCAATTCTGCACTTAACTTATTTTCATGCTAAAATGCACTTGTACCCGTTTGCTTCCTACCCATACAAATAAAATTTGATTTAAGCCCAAATTTGGTATAAAATTCAAATGTGAAAGTATACCCTAAAGACCATTTTATCAAGAGTTATTTTTTCTAATAAATCATACGGAATATTTAGTATAATTATTCATAGTTAAAATACGTATTTATCGTTTTATAAAAACTATAAATATATTTGTAAATCAATTTTAACAACATCCTATTTTTTTCTAACAATAAAGCTCAACTTTTATGAAAGATAAATTATTTTAGTTACATTTTTCTAGGTACAATATCTTAAACCAAGAAGGAAATTATCACTTTATCTTATACCGACATACATATTTACACATTAAATTCTACTTAACTAAGAAATTAATTAATGAGTGGGATTTTCAGCTGCTGCTTCTGGTGAAGATTTGGTGGTAAATGGATTCGTTATCAATTTCGCCACTGATTGCAGAACAGTTATTGGAATCTAAAAAACAAATAAAACAAGTTTATTGTACATGAACTAAAGATTTGGCATTGTAGTTGTATTGTATTGAGTGCGGGAAATAATGAAAAGAATTGTCTAAAAATATCTTAAGAATTAAGGTAAAGCTTTATTGCGACAAAAGAAATTGACAATAGACACTAACTTTTTTATGATGCATTTACAAGTTGTTTACTTTATAAAAGTGATCCACATTGTTTTTTTCCATATAAAAGGTTTTTAAGGGAATAAATAATTATAACATTGAGGCCTAAAAGCTTTAATTGTTGACGTGAAACGTATGTTGGGAATATAAACAGGCCACAATGTAAAAAAAAATGTTCGGCCTCAATGACCACCTAACTTTGTTCTTCTTTTCTTTGAGTCTATACCAACTTGTTTTTTATTAGTTAAAAGCACAAACATTTGGCATCAAAAAGTTCTTGGTTCATTGAAATGTAAATGTAATTTGGTTGCTTGTAGTCATTATAGAAACTACTTCTTTTATTAGCTCCATATTTGCTAGCTTTTATATATTGTTTGTTGTGTGAATAAATTGTGTAAAAGTTGAAATAGCATTTTTTGTAGTTAAATCAATAATTGTTAATTTATATTTAAAACATTTTATTACCAATTTAATTTAACATAATTACGTTTCATTGTATGGATAAACAAAAGGCACTTCCGTAAACTTATGACCCGTAAAAATATAAACATGTTTATTCTAAATGCATTTATAATTTACATACATATCTAATGTATACTATGTTTCATTACCATATCAAAATATAAATTTTTTGTTTCTAATTTTAGATAGGAGTAATAATAGAATAGAATAGAAATAAATAGAATTAACTCAATGCCTGCTTATGAAGGATCCATATCTTTATTATTTTTGTTTACAGTGGTTTTAAAATTAAAACTAAATAAGAACGACCTGGTTCGTGTTTATATAAGTAAGTTTTTTATGGAATCGCATGGCGCGCCGCAGCGCTAGGTCATTTTTGTCCCAGAGGAAATTTAATAATAAATAATTGTGCTGTGTTTTTACTTGGCGCCTGGGTAATAAAAAGGTAGCTACATTTTTATAACCTTAAATAAAAAAGTATGGTGTACAAATTGAAATGAACTTTTATTCAAGGCCGGTTTATTAACGTCCGGTTAACTTTCAGTTAGTTTATCTGGTATCTATAAATGTTATCGGCCAGATAAACTAACTAAAACTTAACCGGCCACAAATAAACATTTTTATTAACAATTTTCTATTAAATATTTAGGTTGATTAAAATAATACCAAAAAAATAAATAAAATTTATTAGGTTTAAAAATATTTTTTTGCATGATTTTATAGAAAAAAATTCAAAGCGAATTTAATATTTTTTCAATTTACTAAAAGTATTTTTTTTTTTTAATTTTTACTTTACTTTACTTTCATGTTTTATTTCCTACTGTACTATAATGAGATCCATTATTATACAATTTTTTTTATTACAATACAGATTTTTATCCAATACATGGCAATATTAACGAATATAAATGCTATTAATGAAAAATTGACTATATCTCAAAAACGGTTCTACTTTTTTAACTTTTGACGAAATTTTCGGATTCAGGGGACAATTTTACATAAGAATTGGCTGTTAAATTTTAGGATACCATGGTATTTCATGGTTAACCATGGTACAAGTGAAAAATCAGCCACTAATAACTATTAAATTAGTCATTTTTGACTAATTCATTTTTAGAGAGTATTTATAAATATTTATGATAATATTTTTAGTTACTTGTTTTGTGTTGCTGTTTTGAGCTACACTTTTTGCATTTAACTTTAACAATAATTTGTTAATAATAAAACGATTAAATAAATTAGTTACTTTTTAATCTTAGAAACAGTCAAAGATGGTGACTTATTTTAAATTAGTCAAACTATACTAACTATTTAGGTAGTAAAAAATAACTATAACTATTTTAAAGTGAACGACTATTTTATTAGTAAACAATGCTGGTACTAATTTAAATGGTAGAATGTTGACTATTTCCATATCTAAATTTTAATGCTATTTATTAATACCTGGAAAATATCATCGATAAATCTGGCAAACATTGTCCCAGCCCGCTGGGGTTTAAAAACAGTTGGTGTGTCAGTTGAGGGACTATCGAATCCAGTTGAAATTCCGGAAATCTCAATAGATGTGTCCTTTTTAGGTGCTTCATTGGTTTTTATAAACTCATCCTGTCTTTTTGTAACTGCATTTACTGAAACGTCGTTTACTGTAGCCTAAAAGCAGGAGTTTTATGTTAAATTTAAATTAAACTAATTTTACAACGGTATGCCGACTTTTTAATGTGTCCACCAAATTAATTATTATTTAATTCGTAGTCTATTTAAATTTTTTCCAACTTTTTTTGTAATTTTAACATTTTAACATTGTCATGAAAAGTATTTTTTAAATTTTTTCCAAGCCTAATCTTTTTTAATTTACCATTTTGTCAATACAAAAGTAAAATCGTTAATACTTTTCATTAAAATTAAAGCTGTCTCTTACATTTTATGTCCTTTCTGCCTGCCTACATTGTGATAAATGCAACTTTCAAATAGGCTGTAAGTTGCCTATTGTTTGAAAGGATTAGCTGCTTTTTTTTTAAGAACGATGCTGTTTTTTGGAAAATTTAATGGTAAATGTGTAAATTTTATAATTTTTTTTGTGTCCATTGACAAAATTTACCTTTATAAAAGTTTAATGAAAGTTTTGTTGATTTTAAATATGTAGTACCTAAATTTATAGTCTAGGAATTAGTTTATAGTTTTTATGACAATGCTAAAAACGGACAGAATGGACGTATTTATTATTATTTTGCCACTTTTTGTTTTTTTAACAAAAAATATTCAATAAATATAAGGTTAAACCTAGATAATTTTAAAAGGTTTTGCCCGACTTTAAAGATATTAAAGAAGAAGAGAAAAATATATAATAATTTTAACATCCTGTATATCAAAAAGGGGCAATATTTGGATATATTACTAAAACCTGGGTGCTCAACCCCGTTATAAAATCTCTGGTTCTCATACATGAACAAGATGACAAATTGAACATCATATAAATGTATTATGATAATTTAAGGACAATGCGTGGCAGAAAACTGATATAAATTAAATTCTTAATAAACTATTTTCCAATGAATTTTATTTGATTTAACTAAAACCTGGGACTTCTGTATAAATTAAATCAAAATTTAACACGCTCGTGCTGTATTTTTAACATTATGTTAGCAAATTAAACATTTTAAAATGCTTTTTTGACATTCTTAAATATGTTTTTATTCCTATACATTACTAGAGAAAAATACTTACATTGTCAAGCTGCTCATTACTAGCAGGTTTACATAGCGCTATAGCAGCCAAGGTACTTAAGACGATAATGAATTTTATGGATGTCATATCTAAAACAAAACAAAATACAACATTTAAAAATAAATATTTAATATTTAAAAATGTATAGACGTTTTTTCGTGCCCTCAATTGGCGAAACAATAGTTATTTATATCATAATGCTAAGAAGTTTTTTTTGTGCTGAGCTCAAAGTTTAAAGGCCGACTTCAGTTGAGTATAACACACTGCTTTATATTCAAGGCACATTTTTTTTGTTAAATGATTCATAAACATACAATTATAATAATAATTATTAAAAGTAGAAAGTGTAAACACTATATTTAGATCATAGTCAAACTTTTTGATGTGTTCAAACGCTTTTTTGTAGTGTCCATAAAAAATTAATTTTACTTTCACTGTAAATATTGCATTCATATCGAATTTAAACGATTGTTAGTCTATTTTTAGGGGATACATTTCGCTTTACATACAAAAATTTGACATTTCCTGCCGATTTACCGATATAATACAGATTTCCATTTTCACGGTTACTCTTTTTTGTATAGATGTCGCTCTATACAAATATTTAATTTAAATCATTTTTAGATAATAAGTATTTGTCGTAAAAAAAGTATAGTATCCAGCTCGTTTTTAAACTTTTCATTTAATTAAGCACTCGTTTGAAAGCTCGCTCGTACCTAAGTTAGATTCGTGACTAAAATGGGGTTTATCAAACTTGATACATAATATACTATACTTATCATTATAAAATTGTTCTAAAACCTCAATTTGAATAAAATACTAAACTCTAAAATTTTTTCAATATTTTTTATATTTAAAAAACTAGGAATATTATATACAGAGTGTAATATAAGTATTAGGTTTTTTTCCAATAAAGTTAATTTTTAATTTGCAGGTGGTTACAATTTTTTTAATAACTTTGAACAATAGAAGGTTAGGAAACACAGTTTTAGCTATGGTTTTATTTACAAACGCCTTTTTAAAGATTACCATTTTCTAAGGCATACTTTATTACTAGAGACCGGATTCTAGTCAAAATATCGTCAATTTTGATAGGCCGTTAAAAGTGTTTAGTGCAAAATTTGTTTTAGACATTTTTAGTGTAATTATTATTAAACAATAATATTGTCTTTTTTGTCTTTTTTCGACTTAACAAAAAGACTAAAATGACTAAACCTTGCCTTAAATGCATAAGTGCTTGCCTAAAGTGCCTAAATGCTTGATTGCCTTTTTAATATTTTTTATGACCGTTTTTAATTATGTATATTTTTGATTTTTAAATATTGTGATTTTTCGCCTTTTTTGCCTATCTCACCTTTTTACCTGCCTATTTTGCCTTTTAATGAGCCTTTTTTAATTTTTAAGTGACTAAAAGTACGGTCTCTATTGATTACCTAGGTGTAGGCTTTGGAAAAACTAAACAAAAGACTTAATAACAAAACCTTACGCCAATACTCGTATGTACCTACGTTACAGAAAAACCTGCAATATGAAATATTCTACTTCCAGTAGAGCATGTCCATATAGAGCAATTGCTTTCGTTGCCATATGTTCTATTGTTGGAAAGTTATTAAACAAAAACTTTTTTAAAATTTTTAATCTGTGTAACTTTATAAAAAGTATTATTTTGTACTAAGAAATCCACCATTTCTTTTATAACCAACCTTTATAATGCCCTATTTATCCGTGTAACCATGGTTCTGCAGAATAATTTGTCAATAATACCTTGATTTATACATTTGCGTGATTCATACTTCCTCGATTTACCCTTTAAGCTTATCTCATAAATTCCTAATAGGATTAGTAATAAGGTTCTGGACATGCAAATCGAAAAGTGCATATAAGCTATAGTAAATTCCGTCTAAACTAAAGTTAAATACAAAATAAATTATGTATTAGTTGTATACTTCTTTCTCTAGTAATTTATATTTAGTTAACTAAATACAAAATTCATACATATGTATAGAATATTTTTTTAAATATCCTAACATTTTTTAGGTATATTTTGGAATTGTTTTTAAGCAAAGTTTAGGAGCAATCTTTAAGGGTTTAAAGGATTTGCCAGAATGTACAAAAGTTTTATTTGCTGCCGACTTATGCCGACTGTAGCTGCAGCTAATGCCGACTCTTAAAAACTTATTTACACTAATTATAATTTTTTCTTAATCTTACATCTATAAAAAATAAAAAGTATCCGATTGAATAATGCGCATTATCTTAAGTGTATACCATACTTTTTAAACTGCAATAAAATAATTTTTATCAATACCAAAATTTATTATAACATTGCTTTCCACCGATCACTATAGTAGCCGCTCTAATAATATATACGAAAGTAAAAAACCTCACCTTTTCCCAATATAAAACCCGATTGGTTCAAATCACAGTTAATACACTCATAGGCAAAATAATCAATCCACACAAATTTTCGATGAATTTCAATCACAAATAACTTTTTTATTTGATTTCAGATTTAAACAAATATTCTTTAATAATCGCTCACATTTTAAAAATTACTTTAAAATTGGCGTACGTTTATAATATACAGATTTAAACAAAAAGATGTTTTTTTATCATAAGTTTCAGACACTCTGTAGAGTGGTAAAACCCTATATTGTTCTAAATTAAGTTTTAATTTTACAAGTCACATCTATTTTTAACACTTTTGTTTTTGGTTCACCTTGATATATTTCTTTTTGTGGAACATAGATTTTTTTTAAATCATTGTAATTTCCAATATTTTTCCGTACGAAGAACTAAGGTTGCTATAGTCTATATAGACTATGAAGGATGACAGTGACAGTTTTGTTGAATCATCCCATACTTGTACATGTCATATACGGCTTTCAAAAGCTATTAAATTGTATTTTGTAAATTAATGTTTTAATTTTGAGGTGTATTCTTACTTTTAAAAATGTATATGTTGGCGACTGATATTGCCGTTTGTACTACACTTCTTGTGACATTTAAAACACTTGCCACGTATTTCTGTGACCATACACCTGAATTAAATCAATGGCTCTGGCAACATCAGTCAAAGACATATCCATTTTTAAAAGTAAGAAAACACCTTTAAAGTAAAACATTAATTTGCAAAAAACAATTTGACAGCTTTTGAAAGGCGTATATGACATGTCCAAGTATGGGATGATTTAACAAAACTGTCACTGTCATCCTCCATAGCCTATGGATGGACCATAGCAACCTTAGCTCTTTGTACAGAAAAAATATTGGAAAAGTGCAATGTTTTTTTTAAAAAACCATATTTTCCACAAAAATAAATATATCGGGGTGAATTAAAAACAAAACTGTTAAGAATAGATGTGACTTGATAATTAAAACTTACTTTAAAACAATATACGGTTTAGCCACTCTACAGAGTGTCTTAAACTTATAGTAAAAAACTTCTTTTTGTTTAAACCTGTATATTATAAACGTACATCTATTTTTTAGTAATTTTTTAAAATATGAGCTATTCTCCATTAATTTATCTAAAATATTCCTAATATTCGTTTAAATCCGACATCAAATAAAAAAGTTATTTTCGATTAAAATCGTCAATTGCTAATGCCTAACAACGTAAATAATGCAGGTCTGTACGCACAGGGGGGTTTTGGAGGTTAACCCCCCCCAGGAGGGTTTAAAATTGCAGTTTTTACTTAGAATACTAAAAAATAACCTGAAAATATATATTTTTTATATGAAATTTGATAACCCCCAGGAGCAAATCCTGCGGACGGCCCTGGAATATTGGGTTCATTGTTCACGTTGTTAGGCGAGGTGCTTATAATAGTTTTCTTTATATACGGAAAAACCCAAATAATGTTTATAATAGGCAATAGGACTAGAAAAACATTATGGTTAGCTTAATTATCACTTGACAAACTTAAGAAGAAATAAATAAAATAAAATATTAATCATATTTTAGGGGTCGTTATACCTTTTTAGGGGATTTTACCCCACTCCCCCAACAATGCCACAAATAAACGTGTGACGTACTTTAAGCACGTCTCTTTATTAAAAGCCCGCCCTTTAACAATGATCAATATATGGTAGAGGTATATAAATATCAAATTTAAATTTTAAAGGTTTATTTTATTGCGTGCTATCAGTACAGGAAACTGCACGATTTAAAATTCTTTTTAAAATACACATTTTTAACTGATAGGTGTACATTGTTAACGAACATACAATGCGGAATATTACGATTTAAAAATAAGTTATGTTTTCATTATACTTTTTTATGAATTATATTATTATCGTATATATACCGGGTGTCTTACAAAAAGCAGTAAATGTATGTATTTATACAAGCAATTAACTTGGTTTAAAAAATCTGAAATTTATTATAAATGTCTTAATAGCTTACCTTAAACATGTAAGCGTTGGTATAAATTATTAGCTGTTTGAATATAATTTTTTTACATCTACCATTTAACCATGAAGCCTACATGAATTTAACGCTAACAATAATTTGTTGTTAACCCCAAAAATTAAAAACGATTAAAGAAATTAGTAACTTCTTCCTCTGTAAAAACTCCTATTTTATTATTATTTTACAATGCTAATACTAATTCAAATTTTAGAATTTTGGCTATTTTATTTTAGTTGGAACTATATAATTTTTAATATAATATGCTAAAATATAAAAGATTTTACTTTAGGCTTTAAAATACATCAAAATATAATTGCCCTTAAGCAACCTTTACTTTTCGATAAACTATCAGCTAGTGAAATTCTGATAATACAAACTGGACCAACTTGTATGTTTTTGTCCCAATGACTTGCACATAATATATCACGAACAAGTAATGCATTTTAAAATTTCCAAATTATCAATTTAATTGCGGCGGATAATCACTAACATTATTCCAGAAAGTCATAATTAGAAAGTCTAATTAGACCCTGCAATGATTAAACAAATGTCACGCACTAAGTGCAAAAGTTTTATTATTAAACATTTTTTAGTAGTAAACATGCTGGACCCTGAACAATGAAATAGAAAAATTAAATTATTTTATGTAAACTGAACATTTTTTTAATTGTTTTA